TTTGACAGGGGGCGGTGCCCCAACCCCCCAATCAGCCCTACCCTGAGCGTGACTAGGGGTGGCATCGCAACCTCCCAATCTGTTCTTTTCTGTGTATGACAGGGGGTGGCGCCCCAACTCCCCAATTGGCGGTGAGCCAGACCACGGGCTGCCCCTAGAGATTGGGCCTGCCCTCTGCCACCTGGGAGCAGGCCTAAGCCAGCAGGTCGTTATCTCCCGAGGGGTCCCAGATTGCAAGACGGCACAGGCCAGGCTGAGGGACCCTCCGTCCCCCAAGTGCACAAATTTTTGTGCACCGGGCCTCTAGTAATAAAATAACAGTGGTTCTCAAGCCTCACTGTACACTCAAATTACTTGGTATAATCAGGTTCTATCTTGGATTAAATGAGAAATTCTAGAAAGAAGGGGTCCAAGCATAGTATACTTCAAAAGCTCCCCCAACCCTGGCCAGTGTGGCTCAGTTGATTGAATGTTGTTCCATTCAACAAAAGGTCAACAGGATGTGATTCCAGGTCAAGGAACATTCCCAGATTCCCAGCTGGATCCCCAGTAGGGGGGTATGCAGCAGGAGGCAGCTGGTCCATATTTCTCTCTAAAATTAATAAAAACATACTAAAAACAAAAAGCACCCCAGATGATTCTAATACACAGCCAAGGGGTGTGTATACTGCACTGTTGGCAGTAAACTGTGTTTATCTGAAAATGTCTCAATTTTGCCCTACTTTTAGCAGACAGTATTTGTTCACTATTGTTCACCATTATTTTCTCTTGGAACTTTGAAGTCTTCTTGCTTTTACTACTCCTTTCTGTATACTAGTCTTTCCTTTGTAGAGTAAAACAACCTTTTCTCTGCAGCTGCTTTGTCTTTGGCAGAATGCAGTTTTGCTAGGTATGCCAACTTGGTATCAAATTCTTTTCATTTATTCCGATAGCAATGTGTTACGTTCTCCTGAATCTGAGGCATGGTTTCAAATAGTTTCAACCAGTGTGGAGAAATTCAAATACTTTTGTCCATTACCTCCTTCTGAAAATATATTAAAGATGACCTTTTATTGTATCTTAACTTCTATCCATTGTTCTGATTTCTGGATAATTTCTTAACATCTTTATAAAGCTATTTAATTTCAGCTATTATTTTCATTTCTACAATTTAATTTTTTTAAAACTGCCCAGTCATTTTTTTATATTCTTATATACCTTATTCTTATTATCTACTGCTTCTCTTAATTTTATGTCCTTTATATTATCTATCTGCTAATCCCAGTATTTGAAGCGTTTGAGGGTTTTCTGCTAGTTTCCACTAGCTCTCATTCATGGAGCCCTTTTTCTATAAATATTTGTAATTTTTTTTATTGTAAGCTCATATTTGCTAGAACTGTATCTATGGGAATTCTTTGAGGCCTGCTTGAAGATATTCCAAAGAGTAAATTAGTTTACATTGCTTCTTGCCTGACACCTGGAAGCACTACCAACCAAGGTCCACTTTAAATAAGAATTTACTTCTCAGCTTGTAGGTTTTCAGAAAACACAGATTATAAATTTAGGCACCAAAACTACAGATGGACTGGAAGACTTTTCCATTCATCTTCAATCTGGACCTGAAATAATCCCCCTTGTTTTCTTATAACAGATATAGAGTATTTTAAAACACCTTTTCAGAAAATAAACAAATGGAACTACATCAAAATAAAAAGCTTCTGCATAGCAAAAGAAACCAACGAAACAACAAGAAAGCCCACTGCATGGGAGAACATATTTGCCAATGTTATCTCCAATAAGGATTTAATCTCCAAAATTTACAGGGAACTCATACAACTTAAAAGGAAGATAAACAATTCAATCAAAAAATGGGCAAAGGACCTAAATAGTACTTTTTGGAAGAGAACATATGGAAGGTCAAAAGACACATGAAAATATGCTCAAAGTCACTAATCATCCAAGAGATGCAAAAATCAAAACAACAATGAGGTACCATCTCACACCTGTCAGAATGGCTATCATCAACAAATCAACAAATGACATGTGCTGGCGAGGATGTGGAGAAAAAGGAACCCTCATTCACTGCTGGTGGGAATGCAGACTGGTACAGCCACTGTGGAGAACAGTTTGCAACGACATGGGTGAAACTGAAGAGCATTATGCTAAGCGAAATAAGCCAGTCAGAGAACGACAAATATATGATCTCACTCATTTATGGAATATAATGAAGAACATAAACTGAACAAAAATAGATCCAGAAACAAAGAAATACCGAACGGACCATCAAACCTCAGAGGGAAGAGATCAACCAAAGGACTTGTATGCATGCATATTAGCATAACCAATGGACATGGACCTTGGGGCAGAGGGGGCTTGTCCTTGGAGGTGGGAGTGGCCAGGGAGGGGCAGATGGGGGGAAAAGGAGACATCTATCTATATCTATCTATATAAAACCTTAATATGCAAATAGACCAAATGGCGGAACGACCGGTTGCTATGATGCTCACTGACCACCAGGGGGCTGGCACTCAATGCAGGAGCTGCCCCTGGTGGTCAGTGCGCCCCACAGGGGAGCGCCGCTCAGCCAGAAGCCGGGCTCATGGCTGGCGGATGCAGCGGTGGGGGCGGGAGCCTCTCCTGCCTCCTCGGCAGTCAGACATCCCCCAAGGATTCCCGAACTATGAGAGGGCACAGACCAGGCTGAGGGACCGCCCCCGCCCCTGCCAAGTGCAAGATTTTCGTGCACCGGGCCTCTAGTAATATACTAGTATAAATCCAACATAATTACCTTTTTAACACTTGCAGAGAAATCAGCTACTATTTTCAAAATGTTATTGGTTTCAGGAAAGTCCTTACAAATATAAGGTTCTTCAGCACATATTACTCTAATTGCCAGACCAGGACCTAAAGTGAAGAGTAATAATTTAAAAATTTTGAAATTTTAATATAAAAATGTCACTACTCCCAAACTATAAAACCCTTTCAAAAATTAATATCCATGTGCTGTGCCACTTCAAGGTTTTTTTTTCCAGTTTTACTGACTAGAAAATTTATTATTTTTTATATAGTTGATATATCACCATTGCAAATAGTTTCTATTGTGAGGATCAAACAAGACAGTATTGGTAAAATATGCAGCAAAATGCATAGCACATACCAGCACTCAAGAAATGTGAACTATTACTTTTTTTAAATTTCATTAAACCATTTTGATGGTTTATCACCAAATACTGAGAGCTAGAAACTGAAGTACAAAGCTTGCCCAAATTCAAGATCTCATTTAAAGAACAAGATTCTCAATCCCAACTTTAAACAAATATCACCTCTGTTTTTCTATATGACAAAATAACTATTTCATCTGACTATTTTTTATTTGCTCATAAATTAGTTCTTATGGCCTGTGCAAAGAAGTGGTTCAGCCATTCAGATAAATGAGCCATGGCAAAAGGATTTCAAAGAACCAAGTTTTAACCCTGTCTTCCATCATGGTATCATAGAAAGAATATACAAAATCCCAGCTCTGACACTGAAAATTGTGTGGCAATGTTATTAAAATATTTTGATGCCTTGGTTTTCTCATCTGATGGCAAATTGATATGTCATATAATTTTGGTGTGGTATATTTAAATATAAATACAATGGAAAATAACTACTTAATAAAATGAAGTATATACACTAGACCAGGGGTCCTCAAACTACGGCCCGCGGGCCACATGCAAATACAAATATTGTATTTGTTCCCGTTTTGTTTTTTTACTTCAAAATAAGATATGTGCGGTGTGCATAGGAATTTGTTCATAGTTTTTTTTTTTTTTAAACTATAGTTCGGCCCTCCAACGGTCTGAGGGCCAGTGAACTGGCCCCCTGTTTAAAAAGTTTGAGGACCCCTGCACTAGATCCTTAAACAAATGTTTATTGCCTACACACCTTTTTCTTTCTCTCAAATTATATTTTCCTTGTGATAACAAATTCTTTCAAAATTGTCTGAATTGATTTTCTTCAACACGAAGGTAAAAGAACAAATCAAACAATTCAATTTTAATTTTACCTGGAAATGGATGCCTTGAAACTAACTCTTCTGGAAGTCCGAGTTCTCTGCCTAAAACTCTCACTTCATCTTTATGAAAATCTTTCAGAGGTTCTATTACTTTCCCCTATATAAGGGGGAAAAAACAATTAGTACAAATTAGTAACCAAAATCACATGGAAACAAAGGGTAATAAATTATTGGCTTTCCCTATTGTCTTTTACCTCAGATTTAAAAATCAGTTTTTAAAACTTCGTTTCCTCCTGTATGCTTATAGGCATTAGATAAACATTTCAGTGATCTTATTTCTCTTTGAAACACATTTTAAATATAAACCTTTTAAATATAAATAAATCAAAGCAAACCTTCCCCTATCTCTGATATAGTTTTTGTTAGAATACAAGGCAAATTAAATATATACTAGTGTTTCAAAATAAAACTCTCCAAATGATGCCATCAAGAAAGTGAAAAGACAACACAGAAGGCAAATCATGTATCTTACAAAAGACTTGTAACTAGAATATATAAAGAACACTTACAGTTCAATGAAAAGATAAACAAACCAATTTAAAACGGGGTAAAATATCTGAATTGACATTTCTCCAAAGAAGACATACAAATAGCCAATAAGCACACGAAAAGGTATTTAGAATCATTAGCTATTAGGGAAATACAAAACAAAATTACAATGCGTTGCCACTACACACTAAGATGCACAAAATAAAGAGACATAATTCACAGCCTTATGATAGCTACTATCAAAACAACAGAAAATAACAAGTGTTGGCAAGGTGTAGAGAAATTAGAACTCTTGGCATTGTTAATGGGAATGTAAGATGGTGTAAACACTATGAAAACATGAAGAAAACCTCAAAATATTAAAAATAGAACTACATGATCTTGCCCAGGCAGGGTGGCTCAGTTGGTTGACCAATGTCCCATGCACCAAGAGTTCACCATTTTAATTCCCAGTCAGGACACATGCCTAGGTTGCAAGCTCGATCCCCACTTGGGAGCATGCAGGAGAGCAGCCGATCAATGTTTCTTTCTCTCTCTCTCTCTCTCTCTCTCTCTCTCCCTCTCTCCCTCTCTCCTTCCCTCTTTTTTCTCAAAAAATATTAATAAAACATTTTAAAAAAAAACCTACATGATCTAGCAATCCCACTTCTTGGTATATATCTAAAAGGATTGAAAGCAGGGTCTACAAGAGATATGTGCAAACCCAGATTCATAGTATAATTTACAATAGCCAAAAGTGGAAGTAACCAAAATGTCCACTGACAGATCGATGGATATACAAAATGTGTATAGACATACAACAGAATATTATTCAGCCTTAAAAAGGACATCTTAACATGGATTAACCTTGAGGACCTATGGTAAGTGAAATAAGCTAGTCACAAAATGATTTTACTTATATAAGCTATCTGAAGTAGTGAAATTCACTGAAACAAAGTAGAATGGTGGTTATCAGGGGTTAGGGCAGTGATGGCGAACCTATGACACGTGTGTCAGAGGTGACACGTGAACTCATTTTTTTTGGTTGATTTTTCTTTGTTAAATGGCACTTAAATATATAAATATAAAAATATAAATCTTTTCTATACTATAGTTGCAAATACCAAAAAATTTCTATATGTGACACGGCACCAGAGTTAAGTTAGGGTTTTTCAAAATGCTGACACGCCAAGCTCAAAAGGTTCGCCATCACTGGGTTAGGGAGAAGGAGAAAACAGTAGCTGTTGTTCAATAGGTATAGAGCATTTCAGTTTTGCAACATGAAAAATTATAGAAATCTGTTTCACAACAATAAAAATACACCTACCACTACTGAACTGTACACTTAAAAATGGTTAAGGGGGGAGGAAAGAGGCTTTATGGGAAAGTTTGCGTAAGTTTTCACCTACCTCTTCTCTCAACTTTCTGATAAGCTCTGTGTCATTGTGATGGGTCTTGATGAGTTCAGCTTTGCCACTTGCAACAAGGGATGCACTTTCAATTAGATCAGGCCGTAAAGTACCTTGGGCAAGGAAAACCTCCTCAGGTTTCAGGTTCATTTCTCCAATTACTTCATTGGCAATCTATAACCAACAGGAGTAAAAAAAGCCTTTTAAAAGATGACTCTTTTAAAAAGACAGCAAAATTTTATACTTTCAGCTAAATTTCTCAAAGTCCTTGGGCAATACTGACAGGATGAAATCTACCAACTCCTAAAATAAAATCCTTTAACAACATATGTTCTTTAAAGAACATGCTTTAACATGATTCAAAAAGGTATGCAAACATTCCCCCTATTCAAAAGCTAAAAACCAGTCACTGAAATACTGAAAGTCTAATATCAATTGAAAATACCTATTCTTAAAATAGTTAAATTAAATCAATAGCAAAACATAAGTATACATGTTTTTAAAATATAAAACAATTTATACTCTTGGTCTATATAGTAGTAATATACAGTAAAACTCTTATCCAAAAATAAAATAAAAATTAGCAAATTTGGTTACTTGATATAATGGCAAGAAAAAACAAATACTAAAATTCACATTGAAAACACTACACATTGAGGATATTAAAAAGGTACTTTGCCCTAGCCGGTCTGGCTCAGTGGATAGAGTGTCGGCCGACGGACTGAAGGGTCCCAGGTTCAATTCCGGTCAAGGGCATGTACCTTGGTGGCAGGCACATCCCCAGTGGAGGGTGTGCAGAAGGCAGCTGGTCGATGTTTCTCTCTCATTGATGTTTCTAACTCTCTATCCCTCTCCCTTCCTCTCTGTAAAAAAATCAATAAAATAAAAAATATATATATATATATAAAACGTACCTTAACAAAAGTATCCCCAATGATTTTTCTTTTCTCCTCAGGACTTGTTGTCATATTTAACGTTTTGCTGATTCTTTTTCGTGGAGTTCTATCTTCATCTGATATCGGTAGAGTTGTTGTTCCATTGTAGAAAGAATGAGCAGCATTTATCACTGGGCGAGGGAGCAGAAACATGTTTTAATCTTTTTTAAAAAGATTTTTAAAAATCATACTAACAAATCAAACTACAGAAATAAAAGCAAAATGGGTCCTTTTATCTACCATTAATTTGCCTACACATTCCAGAACAATCAATAAACTATGATTAATAGAGTCTACAGATGCACTCATTAATTTTGTTTTGTGAATCCTGTGACATTTAATGATCTAGGCCAGTGGTCGGCAAACCACGGCTCAGCAAACCGCAGCTCACGAGCCACATGCGGCTCTTTGGCCCCTTGAGTGTGGCTCTTCCACAAAATACCGGCTCTTCCACAAAATACCGACTTCTGCGCATGGGCCACGAAGTTTCAATCGCACTGTACATGCGCACCCGCACGTGGTGTTTTGTGGAAGAGCCACACTCAAGGGGCCAGAAAGCTGCATGTGGCTCATGAGCCACAGTTTGCCGACCACGGATCTAGGCTCATGATAGCATAAATTATGCTGGTTGTTTTTCCCCTACTCAGTGCACCACCAGAACAACAGGCAAAATTAACAGCAGAAAATCATGGCTCCAAGGAAATTAAAAGCAATGGTTCATGTACGTAAGTTCTCAGAACTACATAGACTAGTCTCTTGAAAAACTGATGTTTATGAACATACATTTAGTGATCCTTGACTGTCCCTTTATATTTAAGAACAAGGTATTCAAAAACTGGCTAAGATCTCTATCTATATATATAAAAGCCTAAGCAACCGAATGACTGGTCAACCCTTTGCTTTGATGCGCACTAACCACCAGTGGGCAGACACTCAACGTAGGAGCTGACCCCTGGTGGTCACTGTGCTCCCACAGCAGGAGCGCCACTCAGCAGACTGACGGGTGCCAGACGCAGGGCTCACAGCTGGCGAGTGCTGCTGTGGTGGAGCGAGCCTCTCCCGATCGTGACTGACTGGGCGCGAGCCCACAGCAGGCAGGAGCGGCAGGCGGTGTTGGACTGCTGGTTTCAGCCCAATCCTCACAGGCCACACCAAGGGACCTCACTAGTGCACGTATACACTGGGCCTCTAGTCTATATATATAAAAGCCTAAGTGACTGAACCACAGGTCGACTGGTCAATGACGCTCACAACCACCAGGGGGCAGACGCTCAATGCAGGAGCTACTCCCTGATGGTCAGTGTGCTCCCACAGCGGGAGTGCCGCTCAGCTGACTGCCGAGTGCCGGACGCCGGGCTCACGGCTGGCAAGCCCAGCTACAGTGGCACGAGCCTCTCCCGCCTCCACAGCAGCACTGCCAAGCTGCAACAGAGGCAGGCACAGTGGGGCCGGGTTAAGCGGAAGCAGGAGCGGCACAGTGCCTGGCCCGGGCTCGGGCTCCTCTCCAGCCGCCTGCCACTTTGTGCACTACTACATCCCCCGAGGGGTCCCAGATTGCGAGAGGGCACAGGCCAGGCTGAGGGACCCAACCAGTGCATGAATCCATGCACCAGGCCTTTAGTTTGGTAATAAGAACAGCTGGTGTGCTTCTCTGTAAGATGACAAGGCAGCTTGCTTTTTTATTGGGAAACCAACAGTGAATTTGTGAGTCTTTCTCTTAAGTTCTTTACTCCAAAGAAGACACCTCCAATCTCCTGCCTATCAGCAGTAGTGGTGGGGTGAGAGAGTCACTATTCAGTACATACATTTCTATTTAATCCTACTGTTTTTAATGTAAAATCTTACTTTCACTCTCAACTATGCCTGGCATTATTAATTTGCCAAAGTCCAAAGCCTCTCCTCATTAGCCTCTCTATAGAGAATGAACCCAGTCTTCTGATGGGGAGGGACAACAGCAATTTGTTCCCATGTTAAGGAAAAGAATCTGCTTCCCAGATTTCCAACCAATCCATTTTAGGCTCACCCAGAGAACCAGGACCCACCAGGAAGCCAATGCTCCTAATTACTGAAGCCTCCCCAGAAGACTTGCTTTTTGTTGGCTTTCTCCCCTCATCCTCACACCAAGGTTTTGGAGTCCTCCATTCTACTATGTCAGTTACCAGGAATAATGCAGTTTTTGTGGGGCTAAAAATTTTTATAATTTAGAAGCCCCTTTCAAGAACTAGAATTGAGCCCTGGCTCAGTGGTCGACAAACTGCGGCCGGTGAGCCACATGCGGCTCTTTGGCCCCTTGAGTGTGGCTCTTCCACAAAACACCACGTGCGGGCGCGCACGTACAGTACGATTGAAACTTCGTGGCCCATGTGCAGAAGTAGGTATTTTGTGGAAGAGCCACATTCAAGGGGCCCAAGACTGGCATGTGGCTCACAAGCCGCAGTTTACCGACCACTGCCCTAGCTGGTTTGGCTCAGTGGAGACAGCGTTGGCCTGTGGACTGAAGGGTCGTCCCAGGTTTGATTCCAGTCAAGGGCTCATGCCCAGGTTGCAGGCTTGATCCCCAGTACGGGGCATGCAGGAGGCAGCTGATCAATGATTCTCATCATTGATGTTTCTCCCTCTCTCTCTCTCCCCCTTCCTCTCTGAAATCAATAAAAAATAACAAACGAGAAAAAAAAAAAACACACCAGGAGGGTTAATACATAAAAAAAGAAATAGAATTGATAAATTAAGTATTTAAAAAGATCACAAGGCAAACATGAACTATAAAAAACATATGTACAGGCATATCTCGCTTTGTGCTTCACTTTATTGCTTCTCCCAGATGTTGCTTTGTTTTTTACAAATTGAAAGCAAGACCCACCTCTAGCAATATACCTTATTCAACTTTTTCTTAGCCTAATCCCAAAATGCCCACAGCTACTCAACCACCACCAACAAAGGGCAAGCTAGAGAAAAGAGTGTTAACTTAATTACCATATTTGCCGGCGTATAAGACGATTTTTTGGCCCTGAGAAATATGTCATCAAGTGGGAGGTCGTCTTATACGCCAGGTACACTTCAGATAGACTGCCCATAGTGCTTGCCCCGTGCCATAGTGGCCTCCCGATGCCCGCCCACTTCATT